CTGGTAGTGCCACCGGAAATAGGCTCCGTCACGCCAGCCCTGCCAGTCCGACAGATGACGTTTCAAACCCGACACTTCCAAAATACAAAAGGACTATATGTTATTGGGTCAAGCAAATTTTGTGACAGTTCCCGAGGACTGCTGGCCGCTTCACAGGCGAGAAAGTCATCATCCTGTGACAGGGACAGGCAGGCGCTCATCTACAACCCTTGTCTCCAGGCTGGGACAGCTCTAAAAAACAAGGCAAAAAAGCATTAGGAGCTCATATACAACTGTATTTTCGTCATGCTACGTGTCCGTTGTTCTCCTTCTTACCTATGAGGAATATGTAAAAGCAGTTCTGAAGCTGTCGGTGTGATCTGTTTTGTGCGTTCCTCCCAGCTCTTGGTAGGTCTGTACAACCTGGACCGGTCTCTGGTTATGTGCATCTTGACCTCAGAGTGACACAAACAAACAAAAAATTGGTCTTTTCCATTGACTACAGAATGAGCTACGTACACTCATTAGGTCACAGAATCATAGAATCATTTTGGTTGGAAAAGACCTTTAAGATCATCAGTTCCAACCATTATCCTAACATTGCCAAGCCCACCACTAAACCATGTCCCTAAGCACCACATCTATACATCTTTTGACCCCCTCCGGGGATGATGACTCCACCACCTCCCTGGGCAGCCTGTTCCAATGCCTAACCACTCTTTCAGTAAAGAAATTTTTTCCCATTTTTTTCCCAATCTTAAATCTCCCCTCACCAGCTTTGCTGCCCTTCTATGGACACGCTCCAGCACCTCAATGTCTTTCTTAGACTGTGGCACTCAAAACTGCACACAGGATTCAAGGTGCGGCCTCACCAGTGCTGAGTACAGGGGCACAATCACCTCCCTAGTGCTGCTGGCCACACTATCGCTGATATAGGCCAGGATGTTGGCCTTCTTGGCCAACCGGGCACACTGCCGGCTCATGTTTAACCCGACCAGCACCCCCAGGTCCTTTTCTCCCAGGCAGCTTTCCAGCCACTCATCCCCAAGCCTGTAGCGCTGCGTGGGGCTGTTGTGACCCAAGTGCAGGACCTGGCACTTGGACTTGTTAAACTCCATACAATTGACCCCAGCCCATCAGCCTGTCCAGATCCCTCTGCAGAGCCTCTCTACCCTCCAGCAGATCGACACTCCCGCTTAATTTTGTGTCATCTTCAAACTTACTGAGGGAGCACTCAATCCCCTCATCCAAGTCGTTGATAAAGATACTAAACAAGACCGGCCCCAATACTGAGCCCTGGGGGACACCGCCTGTGACCAGCCACCAGCTGGATTTAACTCCGTCCACCACCACTCTCTGTGCTTGGCCATCCAGCCAGGTTCTAACCCAGCGAAGAGTACACTCGTCTAGGCCATGAACCGCTAGCTTGTCCAACAGGATGCTGGACGGAGACTGTGTCAAATACCTTACTGAGGTCCAGGCAGGTGACATCCACAGATTTTCCCTCACCCACTAGGTGGGTCACCTGATCATAGGAGATCAGGTCGGTTAAGCTGGACCTGCCCTTTGTGAACCCATGCTGGCTGGGCCTGATTCCCTGGATGTTCTGCACTTGCCGTGAGAGCACAAACAAGATGAAAGGTGTTTATCAGATGAATAGGTGTGGAGTACACAAAACAGTGCTGGCTAGCCAGAAAGAGACTTTTCCCTCCTTAATATCACACGAAATGGCAGAAACACAAAATCGGTAAGAGGGGCAACAAACTGCCTGCTTTCATTAAATTTCAGTAATTCGAAAGGTTAGACTCTTAAGAACCCAGACATATTCCCAAACTCTTCTGGAAGCCAGCCTATTTATTTATCTAATGGTAGAAAACCATTTAAAAAAAAATAAAAAACACCACTCACATTGCAGCTCATTTGTGTGAGGCTTTACCCAGAATAAATATTGCTGGGAGGTAAATTCTCTTGCCTTTTTTTCCTTCTTTTTTTTTTTAAACACAAGAACAACTATACCTGCTGCATTTTTGTCTCCTGATAACAAGGATAAGTTATTATATTTTTTCCCTTTATCAACCATTTAGATAAATAAAAATAATTGCTTTTTAGAACAATGAGAAAAAAGGTTGTTTAAACAACCAAGCTGCACACACCTTAGAGTAAAACCTAAAAAAAGTAAGTTACCTTCTCTCTTAACTTTGCCAACCTTTTTTCTTTTTTTAGTTGCTCTACTTCCTTAGCTTGTTTTTGCAGAATCCTCAGCTCTAGTTTATGTAGATCCTGCAACAGATAATGAATGGAAAAGCAAACTTATCTTTGGAAGTAAAATAAATGGTATGAAGATACACATGCAGCCTTTTCACAGTTAATTTTTTTTGTTTTGTTTCGAAATTATTTTGTCATAGTACAGAATAAAGCTACACTAGGTAGCTCCTTCTTATAGCTTGTCCCGCAGAAACAAATTAGTTACACAGTTTTGAAAAAAAAAAATATACATTGTAGTAGTTTAATCTGTTTATAACAATGAACTCTAGTGTGAATGCTTACAATAATACCAGTTCTCTACTCATCAGATTTACCTTGCTGTGGAATCTAACTTGACCTTGCAGCTACTGAAACCTGCAGGGTATTCAAACATCTCTTTTTTTATTTCATATCTGCATACAACAATCAGTTCTTCTGATGCTTCCTACAGCATAGAGAGCAACACAGACCAAGCTGGTTTTCCCCTAACATTTTCACATTGAAGTAAATAAAGCCACTCCTATATGTAGGAAGAAATAAGGGCTTGAATAATCCTGTAGAATTTAAGATACTGAGGAAAAGGAACATCTTTGTCCAAAACTAAAGTTTCATACTGTTCCTTGTATGCTGTTATTCATAGTGAATCAAAAATAGATTTAAATGAATGAAACTTGGATTTTAAAATGTGTTTGATACATTATATTGTAGGAGGAAGTAGGTGAATTTAAAACAACATGCATAAATGGAGACATAATTACGCACATGCTCTTGAAACGTAACAATTTTTTTTGCAGCAACTCTCTTCCTTTCCTCCTTTTCAGCTTCCTTTCTCTTCTCCTTTTCAAGCTTTTCAAGTTCCTCCTTTTCTTTCTTCTGCAAGGTATACCTTTCCAACAATAACTTCATGTGGCGCTGGCGTTCTTTTTGTTGCTTTTTCTCCTTCTCTTCAAGTTTTAGTTTTGATGCTTGTTCCATTGCAAATTCTATTGCTTTCTGTTTCTTCCATGCTTCAATTGCTGCTTGTTTTCTTTTTCTCTCTTCTTCTGCTTTTTGCTTCTGAGCTTCTTCATGCTGTAGCCATTCTTCCTTGAGCATCTTTTCTGATTTCTCTTTCTCCTTCAAGTTTCCTTCTTTTTCTTGCTGCTGCTTTTCTTTCCACTTCTTAATTGACTGCAAAAGAACAGCAGGAAAAAAAAATAAGGTTTTCATGAAAATTTTACACATTCCCATTGATTTGGTTTGATGAAAGCATATACTTCAAGGATACAAACTGCAGACAGAAAGGCTACTAAAGGCAAAACTTAAGGCAAAGAAGCACCTATGTCTGCTTCCTCACACCTTTTTTTTTTTTTTAATTTTATGGATGACAGGTTTAATACGTGCCTGCTAAAATTACTGAAGTTATGGCATTCATATTAATTTTGGGTAGTTATGAATGTGGGTGTAATATGCTCTTTTTAATGCAAACATGTTTCAGGTCAATGTTTTTCTTCAAATTAGTAATTCCACCTATTTCATAATTAAGTTTTTTTGCCAGCATACCTTTTATGATTCCTTCAAGAACTATCCATCTCAGTAATAATTCTCTAGACTGGGAGGAGATCTTATCAATGCTGACACATATCTGAAGGGCAAGTGTCAAGAGAATGGGGCCAGACTCTTTTCAGTGGGGAAAGGACAGTGCTAGGACAAGGGGCAACAGGCACAAACTGGAGCACAGGAACTCTGAGGGTGGCAGAGCACTGGAACAAGCTGCCCAGAGACACTGTGAAGTCTCCATCCCCGGAGATATTCAAAGCCCCCCTGGATGTGATCTTGTGCAACCTGCTCTAGATGAACAGGGGGTTGGACTAGATGATCTGTGGAAGTCCCTGCCAACACCTACCATCCTCTGATTCTGTGACAGATGTAACAACAATTGCAGTTTCAGATAGGATCACTTACTGCTCTGGGATTGGCATCCAACTTGCTGGCTCACTGCCATCAGAAGCATTTATAATATACTTTGGCAATATACAGCCCACTTCAGTGTGTTGTCAGGTCTACGCTTATTGGTAATTCTTTAAGACTAATATTATTGGCAAGTTGAGCACGCTAAAGACTTCAGTTATATACCATCAACTCTTAATAGAAATCCACCTAGCACTACCACCAGAGAGGCAAATACAAAAATAAGAAATGCATGCATTTTAAAAATAAGTACATTTTCTTAAAGCTACAAAAGCCCTAGAGGGGTTATTTTACCTCTTTCTTTCTTTCGTGTAAAATTAGAAATTCTTGATACCATTTCTCATGCTGTTCAATATCTTCTTTTGTTCTTCCACAGAGATATTCAAGGGCTTCATCCATGTAAGATAGCCTTCCTTTGTGCTTTGTCCATACTTTCAGAAAATTGTGATGATCATAATCATCCCAGCCTCCTTGCCGCCCTCCTGTTCGCTGAAGAAATCTTTCAAACTGTACTACTTCTTCAGGTAGATGATTTTCCAACGTTTTATCAACTAAGACCCTGGCTGATGGTAATTTCAAAACTTTCTCTGTGGCTGAGCTGCCTAACGCCCACTGTTCCACTTTTCTCTCAAAGACACTGAGCTCATTAATGGCAGTTTTTTCCTCCTTCAAAAGCTGTTCATATCTGAGAAGAGAACACTGACATGTAAGAAAACAAATCCAGTATTCATTCACCAAAAATGAATTTTGGAATTGTTAAATGCCACACAAAAGCTATTCTTCAAAGATTAAGAAGTGAAATGCTAACACAGATGACAGCATGGTTGTAATGAACCCATAGTAAAGCACTACACAATCAGAATTAAGTTACCCTTCTAGTGAAAGCACACATTTATGGCACTTGAACAACTAACTCAATCCCCTCCTGACACCAACAGAGAGAAAGGGAAAAAAACCCCACCATGCATTTTAAAAACCAGAACAGCCACAATCTAACCTCTTCTGCAGTCTTTCTCTGAAAATGTTTTTCACAGGCCAATCACTGTTACATCGGATCACTGCAACAGCTATACAACAGCTTCTCTAAAAGGCTGTTTATCAAGATTCTAAAGTTGATAGCTTGAGTTTTGATTCACTAGAATCAAATTCACACAAGAATCACTAGCAAAAGCACAAATCAAAAGAACAGTTTACTTGACTAATGCAAAGTTTTCATTGTGTCTTATGCAAGCCCTCTTTCTTGTAGCTGAAGCATGTATAAACATACATTTGCCTCTGTTCCTCTTTAAAATTATTGATTGCATTTTCAACTTCTTCCATCATTTCCTTGAGCTTCTCAACAACTATAAGGAAAAGGAAAGAGTATACCAGTTAAGAAGTCCATAGTATTTACAAGTAATTCAGCACTATCCAGAAGTGCAAACGCTTGCAGAGACTTCTGGGACACTTTTATTTCAGTGCACCAAAAAAAAACATTTCCACCTCAAACAGCCTTAAAAGATTCAAAAGGTGTGATTTCACAGTGATTTAGTTAACTGGATGCAAATCCCAGTATAAATGTTTATTTCCATTAAACAAGTCTCATTCTGAGAAACCTTCAAGTGGTTCACAGAATAAGACAGTGTTATCCTAAAGAGTTTCCACTTCTGTTTTTTGTAACCATGCAGTTAGTGACTTAAGAAGCACACTCAAACCTGGGGTTTATACCAGGCTGTAGCAATCCTGTTTAATCTACAGGTTACTCTTTTACAAAGCTGACAAAGAAACATCAAAGTAAGACTTCATCCTGTACTGTCAGCATGCTGTAGTCCTGATAAGGAGACAGACTGTAAGACAGCTGCCTTGAGAAGAATTTTGCAATGGTAGAAAAAAGTTTTAGAATCTGTTTTAAACCAACACAACATCTCTATGGACACATATTGAGTTTAACTAACTTGGCTGTGGTGGTTTATCACTCCCCCTCCTCAACTGGACAGGGGAGAAAAAAATATAACAAAACAGACTTGACTTGGGAAAAATATAAGTTATTACAAATCAACTCAGACAGGAGTAATGAGATATCCAAATCTTAAAACACCTTCCCCCAACCCCTCCCTTCTTTCTTGGGCTTAACTTTGTTCCTGATTTCTCTCCCTGCTCCTGCCCCGAACAGTGCAGGGGGACAGGGAGTGGGGGTTGGGGTCAGTTCATCACACTGTTGTTTCTGCCACTCCTTCCTCCTCAGGGGGAGGGAGGACTCCTCACACGCTTCCCCTGCTCCACTGTGGGGTCCCTCTCACAGGAGACAGTCCTCTGACTTCTCCAGCGTGAGTCCTTCCCACAGGTTCAGTTCTTCATGAACTGCTCCAGCATGGGCCCCCCCACGGGGTCACCAGCAACAAACCTGCTCCAGCGTGGGCTTCTCTCTCTCCACAGGCCACAGGTCCTGCCAGGAGCCTGCTCCGGTACAGGCTTCCCGTGGGGTCACAGCTTCCTTCAGGCATCCACCTACTCTGGCGTGGGGCCCTCCACGGGGCGTACGCAGTCATCTGCTCCACCGCCCATGGGCTGCAGGGGGACAGCCTGCTTCACCATGGTCTTGGCCACAAGGGAATCTCTGCTCCAGCACCTAGAGCACCTCCTCCCCTCTTTCTTCACTGATCTTGGCATCTGCAGAATGTTTCTCTCACATATTCTCACTCCTCTCTCTCGCTGCAATTACTGCTGCACCCAATAAATTTCCCTTTCTTAAATACGTTATCCCAGAGGCGAAAACCATCATCACTGATTGGCTCGGCCTTGGCCAGCAGCGGGTCCGTCAAAGCCGGCTGGCGTTGGCTGTATCGGACATAGGGGAAACTTCTAGCAGCTTCTCACAGAAGCCACCCCTGCAACCCCCTCCTGCTACCAAAATCTTGACACCTAAATCCATTACACTGGCTTTTAAAAACAATAAACTAATTGGTACAGTTACATCATCTAAAACTCTTAGTTCAGCTTTCATGTCTTGCTAGTTCTTGGTAGCTTTGCTGACAGCTTAAGAAGATAATGCATTGTTTATAGAATAGACACTGAATAAATGAAACAAGATCCATTACATCTAGCATTAGAAAGGCCTTAGCTAGTAGGAAGGCTTCAACCTGGGCTTCACATGAAGTAGTAGAGTATCACAAGAGAATGGTTCTTTCAGTGCCTATTTCCCCAAAGTTTCAAAACATCCAAACTGAACAAACTGTTTCAGCATTTTCTGTAGAATATTCCCACTTACACTTCAAGCCATGTGGACAGCTAGAAAGAAGTTCCCTGTAGACCCTATGCTGTGACCTCTTACCAGGTGAAAGGGAGCTATATCTAAACAGCACTAGGATACTAACTTTATTTTGCCTAAGGTGAAGAGTTACATATAGAAAGTACCTGGCTTTCAAGAGCCTGAACAAACCAACCCACGCCACTTCTAAGACAGGGCAAGTTTCTCTGTCTCCACACAGAACTGCATGATCATTCACCATTTCTTATATTTCTGCATTCTTCCCTTCTCAGATTCCTGGAAAAGCAGACAGACTGAAGGAGTATCCCAAGTCCTCAGGAGAACCACAAGCCCAACTATGCAAGAAACCTGTCTATAGAGGAAAATCTTTTTAAATGTGTCATCACAACTTACATTTTGGTGTAGGCTTTGCATCTTTTAATTGTTGCTGAAGACTCTTCACATTATTTTGTATTTTTGATAGCTGCTGCAGTATTTTAGCTTCTGATAAACAAAATAAGGTGCTAACAGTTTCTTTGCATTAAATTCAATACAAGAACAATGAAATGTCCAAAATAAACTGGGGATTTAATCTAAGCAGGGACCAAATTCTGTTTAATCATAAAAACCTGCCATAATTCTAAGCATTTTAACATGATTGTAACTGCATGTAGCTGACTGCAAAGGCCACGTACCTCCCCACACAACATCAACATATTTTAAAATTAGTAGCTCCTATATCTAAAGGGGTCCAACAGAATAGTCATACCTAGATTAAATCAGGTGGTTGGGTTTTTTTTTTTCCAAACCTTTTACCAGGTAACTGGAGTTTGGAGAATATTGCCTATGCAGATGATACCTCCTCTAGAATTTTGAGGGAGACTCTGACCTAGGCCTCAAAACTCTCAGCAATGAAGAGGAAAAAAATGCATGTGAATGTATTACTTCAATGAGATTTATTTATTTTCTGTGTTAACTTAAGAATAATCAACGTCTTCCTGTACTCCAAACATGCGCATGCACTTATTTGCTTTGTTACCACTTGGCTCCTTATGAGTCAATAAATATAATACTGACAAGGATGAAGTTCTGGATTCACCTTAGTTACTAAGGACTTGCATCTTCTCTCCTAAAAGATTTGATTTAAGGAAGGGATAACAGAGTCCAAGACCTAAATGTAACATAGTGTAGCTAGGACATGACCCCACTAGCTGCTGTGGAGACCATGTAAAGTGTAAAAGCACATAGGTTATGCTGAAAGACCTCAATACAGTAAATGGGAAGTCTGCAGTTTCTAGTAGATACCCTAAAAGATAATATTCTAGCACTCCTTCACATCTCACATGTAGTTCCTTACACCTCTCATCTTTATCCTCTTTATTATTTCACAACAGTATCTCCATCCATACCTCCACGCTCCCTTCTTAACCTGTGAAAAATTTTTTGAGCTTTTTTGCTTAGTCATTCCTTGGAAATATTTACATTTCTTAAGGATTGCAAGATATAGAGGATATGACACGTTTCCTTAATTAAAAGACACACAGTAAAACATGTACAAATTTGTAAAGTAAGTGTATTTTTAATTGTCTCTATGTGCCCTTTCCCTTCAACTTATTTTGATCTTGTGTATCAAAAGTCATAGCATGATTTATTTGATTACTTTTGAAAGAATCTAGGTACTGTCACCAGACTCACTTCTTTCTCTGAAGTATTTAATCAGTCTGTAAGCAGAATAGATATTGTAGGACAGACTGTGTACGATCTCACAACATTATTTAGACTATGAATATCCATTATCCACGAATTTGAAAAGTGCAAACACAGAACTGTTTAAATGCACATTTACAAGCAGCAATTAGTCTGTGAAAACTTATGTTGCGGTAAGTATGTATTTATTGTACCTTAGCCAGACTACATTAGATTTTGCAATACACACACAAAATTGACTCCAAGTTTCTAAAACTGTAACTTCCCACCAAAGTTGTTGTGGGTGGTGTGTGCTACATTCAAGATTAAAAAAAAGACTGTTAATAACGCAGAAGGCCCAAAACATTTATGCTTCTCAATTTTGCAAGTGTAGAAGTCTTCTTTATAAGCAGTATGCGTGGTGAAATACCACGCTTTTACCAGCATCCATCTTCTCGTATCTCTTAACTACCGATTATTAAACCATTTAAACAACAGTAAAAAAAAGGGGGCAAACAAAAAACCCAAATAAAATCCCACTTACTTTCAGTTTTCCTGCTGACAGTCATGCTATATTCCAGTTCCTCTAGTATGTTATATTCTGCCCTGAAATCACTCCTCCTATTGTAAAGATGTCCATTTTTGTCTTTTTCTATATTTGCAAGCCTGGGAAAAAAAGTTTGCCACACTGAGTAAGACACGAACACTTAGCAAAGCCCCAAGATTTTCCAAGGTTAGTATCCAGCTGAGGCTGTGTCAACAGGACTGTCTTAGATTTTATACAACTTACCCGTTTGTTCCTACAGCTGTTTCCAAAGAAAATCTTTCTGCAGTTACAAGACTACCCACCAAAGTACCCAAGAGCTTGAACAAGAGAAAAAGTTAACAAGGTCATTACCTCACAGTGGTTCACACACTGGAATGGCCCAGAATTTTATCTGTATGCTCACTGTCAGGGAGCCTTATGAGAATTTTCATGGGAAAGCGCAGGGACAGAGACAGGCTGTATTAATGCAGTTGTACACATAGATGGAGCCCCAGCACAGACAAAACAAGTACGTTCCCTCAAACTTAACACTAGTAACAGTACTATTGCAACCGAAGATTCAAGTTCATTAGCGTGTAACTAACTGAAGATATTAAAGCTGCTACCTTACTTACTAACTATAGTACAGACAGCTATAGGTGACTTTTGCTTCCTTACTGAAGTCAGAAGCTTTAGAGTAGAACTCAGAGTGGCATGTGCATTGCCTTCCTACAGCCAGGCAGTACACTAGGGTTTCACCTACAGCACAACACATGAAAAAACATATCTGTGAAGTTTGGGGCCACCATGTTAGATATCAGAACAGCAGGACACTGGTGCCAAAATGTACAGAGACATCTGGTAGGATTCCCAATGTTAAGGAACGTTACTGACAGCCCAAGAAACTCTTGTCTCTCAGTAGCAGCTTGGTTCTTCAGCAGACTGTTGCTGGTATGTGGTTCAAATCCCTATACAGTGCAGCTTTTGGTTCACAGTTTAAATGCTCTGCTGTCCACTGGAATTCACAGACCAGACCAAGTACAAAATCTCCCCACCCAGTGCACTAGAAGCCTTCAGAGGACAACTACAGAAGGACAGTGTGCCATAGTTAAATGGCATGCCTTGTTTGAAGCTCCTTGGGAACATCTATTATTACCTAGCAGTCAATATTTGAGCCATAACCCAGAATCCAGAATAACCAAAGGAGCTGATTCAGGCAGACAATGTAAAATGCTGCTGTGAGACTTAAGTGCCACTGTTCATTCAGGATTCACAACTACAAACCTCTCCTTCAGCTGGGTGGCTATGTCAACTCCTCCTCATAAAGCTCATCTGTTCAAGAAGCAACGTCCCCGTTCTGTCAGCTGCCAGCAGAGTTGTTAAAGCACTTACTCAAGATGTGGGGAAACAGATTTAAATAATTTCTGTGCCTCAGCTGTCTTGAACCCTCATTTTCCAAAACAGTAGCCTACCTATCCTAGATGACGTGCTTTCAGTCTTCTCTGAGGAAGCTGCTATAATGCTGCTGCAATCCCCCTTTGGTTGGTATGTCTTAAGTGCTTTAGGTCCTTAGAAGGGTAAGCACAGCTGAGTACGAAAACTGAGAACTCAATTATGCCACACACACTTTCTTTTTTGTGCTTCTAGTGCAGCAATAGCTTAACTAAAGAAGATGACTGACCGAAGTCCAAATGGTGATTAGAACAAGGCATTTTGGAGCTCATGAGCCTATCCTGAACTACTGTAACAACCACAACAATCTGCCTGAGCTCCTGAAATCTTAGCTTAAAGGTTTCATTACCATAAATTCTTGCCTTGAACCTTGAGTTATGTTACCCCCAGAACAGCATGAAAACATACTTATGATGAAGTGTTTAACTTACTGAGTTTTTAGCTTTTCCGCAGTTCTTAGGAATTCAACTTTCTTATCTTGTTCAGCTTTCATCTTCCAGTTCCGAAACAGTCGACCAGCACTTGCAGTACTGCAACAGCTTTCATTCTGTACATAACAAAATCAAGTATTACTCAACACCAATATTTAAACACTCATTGGTTATTTTTAAGCAGACAACACCACAGTGAAGACTAACAGCATTACTTCAGACTTATACTGGTGCAATTCAACTAATTTTAAGTCACACAGGTATAAAACTGGAGTGAAAAGTGATGGCAAGCTGATGACTGTATACAAAAATGCATACTTAAGCAGAAAATTGGAAAGACTGCAACATCAGCTTGCTGTAACAGAGGCAGCTCACCACACTGCAATACTAAATGAAGACAACTCCTTGCCCCTCATGCCAGGCAGTCTCTGACGAGTCAAGAGTACCTACCTACCTGACCGTAAGCATGTAATCCATGCTCGGCAGATCACCCCCATTTCATGCTCAAGAAACACTAGCTTAACTTCTGAAATCTGCTTAATAAAACTTGCAAATCACCAATGCTTATTCATAGCAACCCTGAATATCCATAGCATAACCACTGCTAGGGACGCAGATTACAAAACCGCCTGCTCGGGTTACGAAGCTACCGTTTTGAGGCCAGCCCGGCAAACCCGCACTGCTTCCCACGGGTTTCTTTTTCACCTTTACCCCTACACCGTGTACGAAGCTGAACTCCTCAGCGGCCGCCTCCCGGCAGGCCCGCCCGCAGAGAGAGAGGGTCTGCCCCCGGACGGCGGGCTAAGCAGCGGCCCTGCGCCGCGGCGAGACCTTTACCTGTTGCT